TTATTCCACAGAGTATTACTATTTTATTTTAAATTAATTAAAAAAACTAATACATTAAAACATTGTGCACTTGTAATGTTCTAACTACATGAATATATTTTGCAATGTTTAAGGTTAAACATACCTATTTCCTCTGATGTTAATAATAAAATTCTTCTAGCTTTTGAGATGTACAGTGTATTACCATTACCTGGGGTAACCCTACTGCAATAGCACACCGCGTCTTACTGCTGTGTAACTTTCGCTTGGTGCTCATTGTTCAGTCCTTCCAATTCTTCCTTCCCAGGTTGTATATTTCTATCCCTCTAGGCTACTTCTGAGCTTCTTGAAGGCATATATTTAATAATAAAATTCTTCTAGCTTTTGAGATGTACAGTGTATTACCATTACCTGGGGTAACCCTACTGCAATAGCACACCGCGTCTTACTGCTGTGTAACTTTCGCTTGGTGCTCATTGTTCAGTCCTTCCAATTCTTCCTTCCCAGGTTGTATATTTCTATCCCTCTAGGCTACTTCTGAGCTTCTTGAAGGCATATATTTTAAACTTAATAAGCATTAAGTGCCTACCATGTCCCAAGCATTACCAAGCATTCGGATATAGAAAGTATTCCATAAATCTTGTTGATTTTCATTTAATTTTGTGTTTACATTAATGACTTCCAAAACATCTTTGTCCAGTTTGATAATCTATCTGCCTCAGAGAGTTGCAGTTTATTCCCTCCAAAAAGTTATTGCTCAGTAACAAACATTTTACAGGCCATAATTTTTTAATTAGCATGTATATTTAACTTTCATTTTATTGGACTTCTACCAGATTATCCACACAACATTGGACTTTCCTTTGTTTAGCAAAGAGCCCCTAATCTAGAGTTTAGAATCAGCCTGTCTTTAACACATTGATTGGTGTACATATTTCTGTGGTAATAATAATGATTTCCAATTTAATAAAGCTAAATGATACTGAAAGTTCTGAAAAATGTTTTGGTTTTATTGGTAAATGGTGGAAAGTATGAGGAAAGTTAGGGGAAGATAGATTCTCAGAAACATTTAATCTGCTGAAGGATCGATACGGCTTCTTGTGGTTTTGAGGTTGTGCCATCCCAGAAGCAGTGGGCCAGAGTAAGTGGCTGGCAGGGAGCAGACCATGTGACACTGGACAAGCCATTCAGTTCCCTCTGTACTCTAAGGTCTTCCCTACCCCTGAGTCTTGGGAGACTTGGGAAACCCTAAGCTAAAGTTGAGATATAGAAGATCCAAGACTGTTTTCAAAAAGGGATGAACAGAAGGACGCAAGAAATGTTGAAAGGTGTATATGTTGATGTGAGCCTCTTCTGTTCCTGGTGAATCTTTAATCTGAAGAAGAGAAACTGACTGACTTAAAAGTGTGATAATGTGGAAATTCATTACCTTTTCCCCTAAAGTGATAAGTCAGTGTTTAAATTTGCACGGGTGCAGTGGCTTGCATCTATGGTCTGATGGCGGGTGGTGAAAAGTAGAGGGAGTAAGGAAGGACTGTTTGGGCCAACTGCCTTTTGAGTCCCCTCTCTTCTTCATAGCACCCAGAAGTCTGCAGCCTGAGGGAGGTAATTTCCTTGAACGACCTCTCTCTACTGCCTTGGAGCATGGAGAAACATAGTGCCCACTGCCCTTTGGACCCTCCCACGTCCAGTTGCTCCCCGGTCATTTTTAGATGCTTCACAGGGTTCAGCGGAATTTAGTTAAGTCCACTTTCTTGCTTTCTTCTTGAGAGCCCCTTAAAATAGAAATCATTTTTAAATGAGACTGTGCTTAATAGTATCTTTTGCTTTCTGAGCTCGTAGGAGGTGTCGAACCAGGGCATGGTGCTGAGATGATAAAATCATTGCAGTGATTCTGCGAGACACATAGTTTTATGTAGTTTTCAAGATCAAAATGCAAGACTCTAAGAATTAAGTAATTTTATGAGATCACAGGGTTAGTGAGAGACAAAGTTGTGATTCACCGTAACATATCACACACACACTTATGCACATGCACACACACACATGGTAGGCCGGGAGACTGGGTAAATGAGATGGAAGTGGTGAAAGAAAACCTTTGAGCATAAAGTAATTTGACCTAGGTGGTGAATTGGAAGGTTTTAGATGTGGTCTGAATAATTCCTCCTCTGAAGTCAACCACAGTAACAGCTTATTTCTGGCTTCTCTGCCATGACTCGCTGGTCACTTCCTCTCCAAGCAGTTAGAGAACTAAGCATCCATATAGGGGGACATAAGAGTGAAGAGCAGATTGTGGTGTTAGAATTTACAGTTGCAAAGTAAACTTTCTGTTGCTCACCTGCTGAGGGAGCCTTTGTGCTTTGGGGACGTGGTGTATTCTATTCTGCTTCATGAGAGTCACAGGCTTAGGAGGATGGAGAAAAACCTATCACTGAGTGCCATAAACACTGGATCATCTTAGAAAGTGGAATTGCGACAAAAGGCAAATGTGTGATTCAGATTGAACATTCACTTCAGCTGTCTCTCAGATGTGGCTTTTGTAGGACATATTGTTTTTTTCTTCAGCTGAAGAAGTTGATCTACAGTTGTTGAAAGTAGGAAGGAAAACTAAAATTTGAAATGAAAATAAATAGAGTTTCTCAGCTGGGTGTGGTTGGCACACACCTGTAATCCCAGCACTCGGAAGGCTGAGGCAGGAGGATCGCTGTGAGTTCAAGACCAGCCTGGGCTACACAGTGAGTTCCAGGTCACTCTCAGCTACATAGTCTCAACCCCCCGCAAAAAAAGAATAGAGTTTTTCAATTGGAGATGCCATTGTGCTAACTGAATACTTCCTTAGGGATGGAAGAGATGTTTATTCTTTCTCCACTGGACCCAAAGATTAGCGACAAATGGCTGGGAAGGGGATATGTGGTACTGTTGTGGAGTCCATGTGAGGAAACATAGTAAGGCCACGTGCAGCTTGCAGCTTCTGAAACGTGGCAACGCCTGCACTGTGCCCACTAAAAACAGCTTTCGCCTGCCTCTTGTGTCACATGCACATGTAGACTTTAGTAAGTAGGTGGTTGCTTTAGAGGGAAATGTAGAATCTGGGGAGGAGCTGGTCAGTGGATATATGGTACATGAGTTGGAATCTCCCTCAGCATGTTAGAGCCAAATTGCAGTGTAGAATAAACACTGGAAGGCATTTGTCAGAGAGCTCAGAGCAGAAAAAGCTGAGACTGTAAGCAAAATAATACAATTTATTATTTTCACGTAACCCTTATACTCTAGGCCTGGAAAGTGGCCAATATTGTACGCTCTTTGATAGAACTGTGGAAAGAGAAAGGTAGGTGCTCCTAAGTTACAAGTCAGTCTTGCCTTGATTCCAGAAAAAAAAAAACAAAACCCAAAAACAAAACGCAATTCATGGGACAGAGGGATGAAGACTTGAGAGACTCCAGGCAGACTCCGGACTGCAGGAGTGGTCCTTTGCAGTTTCTTCACTTCCATTTTGGGGAACCAGGAATAAGTTGGAGGACAGTGTGGGAGTCACTAAATATGTTTGTGAAGATTTCATGAAAGCTGTTCTGGACCGAAAAGAAATGGGGTAAAGTTCTGTTTCTCTGTACTCTCGGTGTTAAACCTAAACTGATAGGCATGAGGCAAAGTGCAGAAATAAATGACTGCGTTTTATATTTTATACAGGATGAAATTAACAGGATATTCTTGCATTTAACAGTAGAAGCAGCAATTTCAGTACGTTAATCCCTTTCCTGGAAGAGCAGAAATGCAGAACCCGGTGTTTCTGGCTGACCGAGAGACTCAGTCTCGGTGTGGGCTCAAGTGTGACAGTGGTCAGCGTCAGTGGATGGTTGTCCAGGGTGGAGCCCTCATGGCTGCCCCACCTGTCACATGTTATAGAAATTCACCATCCAGTTCAACATTGCCTTTGCTAGGCAAGCGAAGCAGGCTGCTGCACCCTTCCTCTGGCACTGACTACAAGCCTGGTGCATTCACAGTCATGAACAGCGCAGTGAGGAAGACACAAAAGAAGTAGGCAGAAACCCTGCCTCTGCTCAGGAGCATGTAATTTAGTTGGGGAGACAAAACTTAAATGCTAGAACCAATAAAAGAAGATTACAAAGCGACCTGCTAGTAAGTGTATAATAACAAGGGACAAATGACACAGATGAGAGCAGAGGGCACATGGAGGCAGGGGAGCGAGCGTAACACGTCAGCACTGGATCAGTAGGAAAGGCATGTTGTCTAACAGTTGTATATCACACTGTTGAATTTTTTTCCTGTAGCATCAGAGAGGAAGAATGTGTGATAAGAAATTCATATATATACATCGATCTCTTCCCCCTTATCTGAGAAGTCTTTCAGGCTATCACAGATGGAAATTAAATTGATCCAACAATTTGCTCTCCACAAAGCCATGGTGGTTTCTACCTAGTAATTTATGCCGTTCCTGGTGTTTGCAAATCGATTGCTATTATGGGATGTAGACAAATCTGGGCCGGGATCCAGTAGTTTGGGGGATTTTTGGAGTGGATATGCGTTCATGTGTGTGAAATCCTGGAAGAGCAGGCTCTCTTTTCTGTGTATTTTACCATTCGAATATAAACATATTTCCAGGTTTTAAAAAGCATGTTTAATTATCCTCAGATTGGATTTTTAAGGCTCTGCATCTGCTTTTCTTCGTATTTCTACCGACTGACCTTGATATTTGCCTAACCTTCAAACTATCATTAGTGGTTTTGTAGACAGAACTTTTGTTTCAAAAAATTCTTGCTCTGCCTCAAAAATGTTATAGATCAATCCTTTAAAATTTTCCTTTTGACGTAGAAATAGATATAGATATTCATTTAGTTTGATGACTAAACTGTTCCTATCAAAAGGCTTGGGAAAAATATGCTTTATTTAAACACTCAACCTCATTGTTGTACCTTTAATTTTTTTTTTAAAGTCCTTCTGAGGATTGTGAAATTCTTTCAAAACAAATTAAAAAGAAAACATTTTCTGTGATTTCTTTATAGATTCTGGACAATCAGGAAGTCCAAGCCACAATGATCCTGCCAAGAACCCTCCAGGTAAATATGTGTTCCAGGACGCTTGCAGTCTGACATTGTTGGAGAACAAAGGTACCACTGTATAGACAAACACCCCGATTGGTCCGGTGCCTGTTGTTCTGGCAGGCAGGTATGACTGGGACAAGATGTGATTGTGTTAGGCCTTTGTAGTGGCAAATGCTTCAATATTTGCGTCACTTAACCTAATCACCAACGTTTTAATTTTTGTTGGTATTTCTTTAAAGTCGAATATGCATGGATTTTAGTTGTGTATCTTTCAGGGACTAAAAAGTCGTTGTTAGAAAAGCAAAAAAAAAAAAAAAAAAAAAAAAAAAAAAAAAAAA